AAATGGAAAGAACTAGAGGTTATTTTGTCATAAGGTAGTGTGATTATGCATGACACGAAGTATTTGCTAGTCTAGTACTGGAGAAATAAGCGTTTGGATGCGCATAGTGCGGCTTTAATAGAACAGATGCGAAACTGCCGGAAAGCAAGAAAAGATAACGAGAAAATGTTGTGGCATCAACATATGCAATTTACTGTGTTCGAACAGAAATCTCGGTATAAATACATAGACTCAGGACGCATAAGTACACACATATTAGATTAGAATATTACCAGTACATTGAACGATAAAATAACACGCATGCACATTTATATACCAGATTTTCTTCTCTCGTTATTGGCGTGTGCGTGCGTGCGTGCGTGCGTGCGTGCGTGCGTGCGTGCGTGCGCGCGTGCGTGCGTGCGTACGTGCGTGCCTGCGTGCGTGCGTGCCTGCGTGCGTGCGTGTGTATGTGTGTTCAAGTGAACATTTTCGCCGGGATAAATAAAAAACAATTGATATGTTCTACATCACACAGACTTAATCATACATCGTGTCATGAAGAGTATTGCCTCTATTACACTGAGACTGCCAACTGAGAAAGTAGGAGAGGCAAAGCTGTGCGGCTCATGCTATAGAAACGTAAGTATGTAGACTATCTGCACATCATGCGACCAACTATAGCAATAAACGATCAATAGTTTGACACGCGTTTATTTCTTCGTGTTCTCCTTCCACGGTTTTGCACCGAGTGCCACTAACTTAAGTATGTTCGCGCAGCTTAAGTAAGGAACTTGAGACGGGTTTAGATTCTATTTAATTTGCGTTTTTCAATGTAATAATATTAACGAATCAGTGCGCTGCGATTACGATAGCCCGTTCCGGACATTCCCACGTTTGTTGATGTTAATTCTTACGGACGGGCGGGCGTTATATATTATACTGTGCAGCGGTCACTCGCGACATGTGAACTGGATACGGTAAGTGGGGTACGGGAAATGGGATGGGGGTTAACGGGTACCTAACAGGCTTGAATTAAATATTGGATTCGGGTTTAATTAGGTATCTAAGCAGTACATTGCATGTTAGCGCCGTAACGGCAGTGCTGTGTCAAAGAAGCCCGTGTCATTTTCCGGTCAGCTAACCACGGCATTTTAGATAGTACCAGCTAGGGTACGTTTCGGTATACCGGACCGTACCCAGGGTACGTTCCGGCAGTACCCTGGGGGACATAGACCCTCTCAGCCTAACCAACAGGTGTAGGATTTTTACTTGGAGCTAGTTGAGTGTGCATGTAGGCGTATCAGCCGAGTTGTGAACACGAGTTCCAGCTCTGAGCATATGCTAACATATCAGTGGATCCGGGAGTTGAGAGACAACGCGTGTTAATTGGCGAGTTGCGATTGTTGATTTGAGTTGATGGTTGGCGATTTGAGTTCGCGGTCACGTGCTACCCGCAGCATGGCGAGTTTGAACTTTGAGATTATTGCGGTGTATTTATGAACTGCGATCGCTGGACAAACACAGCGGTAGAAGATAATGGTGGCATTCGCGTAGTAGTTCGGAGCATGTTTATGCGTTCAATGCCGCGCAGAACCGCATGTGCAGACGTGCTACATTCAATCTTCCTTTTTCTCTTTCATCTTCGCCTTTTCTTCGGAGTCCTTGGTTTTCTTCTCTTTCTTCTTCTCCGCCATACCTGTATTCTTCTTCTTTTTCTCTTCTTCCTCCTCCTCCTCTTCCTCCTCATCCTCCTCCTTCTTCTTCTTTTTCTTCTTCTTCATCCTCTTCTTCTTTTTCTTCTGCTTCTTCTTCTCCTGCATCTACGTCTTCCCGTTGTTGAGTAGGGTCCCTTAAGAGACGTGCGCGTTCCGTGACATTGTGGGCGGACACTACCACACTTCATGTTCTTTTCTTTCATGTTCCCATTACTGCATGGAGTCAGGCTGTCGGTTACAGTGCGCTTGCTCTGTGCTCATAGTGGCCGTGTTTTGCCATGCGAGGGGTTTCCCATGTTGATTCCCATATTGAGCACTTCGTTTCCTAGAATTGCACACGGAAATAGTTGAACGCGTTTGTTTTTCAAATATCCGTAACCGCATTATAATGCAAAAAAATCGTCTTTACACGGTATTTGGCTCAACCTCCCGGTTGTTATAGCTCCGGGTTAGTAATCACATGGGGTGGAATGTGCAATTGATTGATATATATATATATATATATATATATATATATATCCGCACTGAGCTTCGTTAATTGTCTGAGAAAAATAGGGGAGGCGGTGGTTTAAACTACTTCAGGTAAATGTTAGTCATTACCTCCATAACGATCGTTATGAATACGATGATATCCTTGACGGTGAATCGGGGTAATCATCAATGTCCGCATATAATTCTTGTTCTTCATAGTCGTATTCTTCAGCTGGAAATTCGATTCGAATAACATTTATATATATATATGTATATATATATATATATATATATATTGCGTAGAAGGGACAGTGGCGTAGCTAGGATTTTTTCAGCGGGGGGGGCACTGGGGGGGGCCTTACATTTTCGTGGGGGGGGGGCACAATATATAATTTTATTGAGATATGGTTCGAAACGCTTCTTTCATTGTATTATATAGCTGTTGCCTAAAACGGCTCATTTTTTAATTCAAATTTTTTTTATCAAGCATCGAATTTTCAGTGGGGGGGCACCTGGGGGGCGCACAGCAAATTTTTGTGGGGGGTACGTGCCCCCCCAGGCCCCCCGCTCAGCTACGTCCCCTTGAGAATGGGAATAACTAGAATATAGAATATAATAGCGACGGACTCTACTGGATGCCGCAATGTAGGCAAATACAGCAAATATGACGTTGTCCCGCCATGCTATAGGCCGAATAATTCGATAACTGAGCAGTGCTAGTATTATACGTCACTGTACTATGTGCCATTAGAGCTGCACTGTAATATGAATGGTAATGTGCTACGTATAGGCAAGGGCCGCATCACAAATGAAATTACAATATAAAATATACGCGCGTTTAAAAAACAATAACTATGCCACTCCATACGTTTTACGCCGCGAGTATAGACCATTAAATAGGTAAATAAATAAATAAATTAATTTAGAGTAGCTCTCTTTAAATTGTAGTTCATTCTGCTGCAGATGGCGACGCGCCGGCGACACGCTTACCGCAACAAACTCGGCTTGCGCCAAGATAACGTGGCGGGAGGGCAGTCTAGGCGGGACGGAGAGATAGGTTGTCGTTATAAGCAACTCTTCTTCCTCCGCAGTCAATCTCTGGTCTGAATGCCAACGAAGAATTCGTCACTCCTGTTATCTTCGTGGCTTTCTCAACGCAGCGAATCATTGCGGCGAAGTAAAGAGTATGAGGCTATTATATAGCTACAACGCCATCTATTATTTGTGGAAAATCTATTAATCAATGAGAAAGTAAATTATCAAATTAAATTCGATTTAATTAGACCTTCTAGCTTCAGATATTTTGCCTGATTACAGATTCTCACTTCAACGTTTGCAATGCATGTATGCTAATGTATTCTCTAAAACCCTATAATCTATCTCGTTCTCTCTCTTTGTCTCTCTCTCCTCCTCGTCTGCTCTCTCTCTCTCACTCTTCGTCTCTTCTCTCTCTCCCTCTCTCGTCTTCTGTCTCTCCTCGCTCTCCTTCTCTCTTTCTTCGCCTTCGCGCTCGTCGCGCTCTTCTCACTTTCCGCTCTTTCTCACTCCTCACTTTCTCGACTCCACCTCTTTCCCCTCTCTCTTCTCTCATCTCTCCCACGTCTCTCTCTACTCTCTCTCCTTTCTCTCGTCTCTCTCTCTCTCTCTTCTCTCTCGTCTCACCCGTCTTCCGCTAGCGCTCTCTAACCACACTCTTTCCCTCTACTTTACAATAATTGTAGAATCTTATATTCGTATGCGATCCAGCGACTACATTGAAAAGGCTTTCGCAGCGGCGCGCATTGTTGTCGCGTGAGGGATGGTCGCATTACAAACCTTGCGGTTCGAAATGAATTCGCCACCTGCAACCAATTAGACGAGGTTTAAAATTCTACTAATAGGTGATGACTCTACATAAGCTTTTCTCGACAGGCTGAGGAACACAATGAAGATTAAGGCGTCTGTGGTGCTAATGGAGAGTAGCAGGAGAGACGGCGAAAGAGGATGGCTTGACATTTGTAGATTATAATCTACCATTGTAGAATGCAAGGCGCCGTTTATTGTTGCTGCCAAATGTTTCATGTGCCATAAAAACATGACGGTTCCCATTACCTTAGTGCGAGAACGCGTTTGCACGCACACACGAACGTCGCGTGTAACAAACACGAATGACACACCGCAGGCACATCCACGCCACACTCGGACACAACCGGGTAGTTTTGTATCTATATATATGTTGTTCCGTACTAACTCGCAATCCAGATAATGTTATGTTCTATCGCGTATTGTGATTGTGCATGTCACAACAGGAAATATTTCTGAGAAAGAAAAAGCCTTTCATACAGTCTGTGTGTCAATCTCAACAACTGATACAGACAAGATCTGAGAAACATTATTTGTCGTTGCATATACGCCACCCTATGTAGGAAGAGTATATATAGCGTAGCGCGGATTGCAATTTCGCAGGATAGCCACGGCGGCCGTGACGCCGTATTATGAGGTGATAACGGTTCTGACGCGTGGTCTGTGTCTTCCTGCGGCGTGCCCCCTGCTGTGTCATGTGGTGTGTGTGTTGTGTGTGTGTGTGTGTGGGGTGATGTGTGGTGTGTGTGTGTTGCGGGTGTGTGGTGTGCGCGGCGCGCGGCACGCGCGTGTGTGTGTGTGTGTGTGTGTGTGTGTGTGTGTGTGTGTGTGTGTGTGTGTGTGTGCATGTGTGTGTGTATGTTCTATAGTCAACATACATGACACTATCTGCACGCACAGTTGTACGCAAATCGATTACGCCGCCAATCTGTACTCTATCTTTATTTTTTCGTCATAAAGTTCTATTGTGATTGCTCATGATGGAATTTACCGGGCTTAGTGCCGGATAGCAGTACTGGTGCCTTTCCCATTGTTATTGAAATTCTTCACCAAATTTGTTTACCTAAAACCCCAAATTCCTCAGAAATTAATTATTTTGCGGCGTAGAGAAGTTCAATAAAACTAAACGATGTCTTTTTTTAACAATTCATCGCAATCCTCTCGTTTGATTCTTATTAAAAGACTACTGTACACGTATGAAGCCGGATAACATTATTTATTATATTTTAATTATTATTTATTACCTTTCCCATTGGTAGTAAATATGGCTGCTGTGAATCAAGCTCATCTAAAACCCGAAATTTGACGGAAATCGGTTAGGGGGGTAGCTCGTGACGTAGAATATAGAGCTAGGTGAACTCACGACTTTCATACGGCGTGAGGTCGACATTCGCTGGACGTTTAGGCTTCCTTGGCGGAGATCCGGGACTAGGCGCCAATACCGCCGGACGGTAACTCTTTCTCCCGCTCTCCAGCGATGGAAGCACTTTCGGCAAAGATCGGACGTCGACGGCTGTGGTCGGCGACAGCTCTTGCGCGCGTGCGCCGCCGTTGGCCGCCGCGGTACGGCCCTGTTCGACGCGTTCAGTCGAGTATTCGCCTGTTGTCGCTGCTCTATCTCTCATTCCCGCGACGACGGAGCGTATCGCGGCGCGGTTTTTGTCCAGCGCGTCGGCCATCGTTAACTCGCTCGGCACGGATGCACGTTCAGACTGACTCCGTTCCCTGCTTTGCACCGGAGGGGGCGCGTTAGTGGCGCCACCCTGCGTCGACGGTACTCCGTCGAGGTTAGGTTTCTTAGGTATCGGCGGTCGTGGTGCGATCGGTGGTCTGATGTTTAACACAGGCGGACCGCCTGGTGTCTGCTCTGCTTCGAATCTAGCGCACATCTCGTTCACACTGCCCGTCTTTCTGGCCTGAAAAAAACGAAAGTTGAAGAGAGAAAAGGGAAATACGATATATGGCTTGCAGCCGGTGTACTATGCACGCTTTAGTTTGCGATCCATTTGCTTCTTTCTGGCCTAAAAATACGAAAGTAATGGGGAAAATAGAAAATACGATATGGCGCGCAGCCCGATCACAAGGCATGTTTTAATTTGCGATAAATTCTCTTCTTTCTGGTCTAAAAAACAAAAGTAATGGGAAAAAGGAAAATATGATATCGCTTGTTTACGTTTTAGTTTACGACGAATCACCGTGTTTCTGGCCTTAAAAACGACGTATATAGGGAAGTGAAAATACGATAGCTTTCACTCTGTATGCAGGCAATGTTTTTGTTTGCAATAAATTTTTGTTTTTGAACTCAAAACGAAAGTAAAGTGGACTGAAGAATGCTATAGATTGTGCCCCGTCTACACGGAACGTTTCTGTTTACCATAAATTCCCACCTTAATGGCGTAAAATGAACGTAACGTGGCAATAAATATTGCTGCTTGGACTCCATTTACAAGACACCTCCTGCTGATAGTGACATTTATGACTTTAACTTTTTACACTCTGACAAGCAAATAAACATGTCTGATAGTCAGGTTTATCGTTTCTACGGGACACAGACACACTGCACTACCTCATGTGAATACCATCAAGCTACAATGTAGAACAAGTAACAGTAAGCAAGTGTAATACGCCATTTTATCATAACAGCGAGACATAGATTGCAGAAATAAACATGGCAATATAAAAAGTAATTTTTAACACGTTTCTTTGCGAATGTTGTTGTCTATGCCATCGCGACCGCATTTCGTTCGGTATAGAATAAAATGACGCAAAAAAGGCTACATAATAGCGGCGTAAGAGTACGAGTATTGTAAAGTAATTCGAGCATAATACTACGCCCCTAACATGCACATAACGTGTAAATACACAATCGGCGCTGGTTGAAAGCATTTTCAGGAATTGTGTAATCAGACTCGTGCGCGACCGATGCGAGAAGATCAAATGTTCTGATTATGTGTACGCCGTTTCCACTCACAGCTTACCATTACTACTTCGTTGACGAAATTCCAATATTCCTGTTTCCGTCAACCACCCGAGGAACGTCACACGTGTGCCAGGCGCCCGGTATGCTTTTCCGCCTAGCTTATCCAACAGCTCTAGTCAGCATAATCCCACTACCTCGTACTTCGACCTGTGAATCATGTCTGTGTATTTGTCACGTGACTGATCTCATTGGTTAGTACGTGGAATGCCGACATAGCCGATATACCAGTATATATAAATATATATATGTATGTGTGTGGGGGGGGCGCATGCATGTCAATGAAATATAAATAAGTCGAAACGTATTTTACGTGACAACAAATATAAGTCATTCAGATGACCCACTTTGTAATAATGCATGGATGTCATCATGGCATGATTAAAGTTTCTAATAACATTGTCATTCTCATCAGTAATCATTTACGAATAATAATGTTAACATGGTGAGTTTCGGAGGTCAATTTTTTCAGTTTCGTAATCCATGATAGTTTGGAGGAATGGTGGATTACTCAAACTTGCAAGTACTTAATTGGCTAAATTATACTTCGTTATATCTTCACAATAGTTTTTTTTCTTGTAACACAATTTTTTCAGGAGTACGTGAATTACAGATCCTGATATCATAGCAGGAGTAGATAATGGGTAATAATCCCTATTATCTACTCCTGATCATAGTCATACATTATTTCTAAACACCTAAATTGCCGTCAGGTGGCAGCACGAGATCAGTATGGGCACAGTGGTATGGTATCATTAATTTTGTGCATTTGTGTGTGCATGTGTTTTATGTGTTTATTTTATGTATAATAATAAGCTATTGTGTGTCCATACTTTTAACAATTGTATTTAGATATAAAGTGGGTAGCTTCGAGTCAGAATAACGAGATCATTGCATTGACACGGCTAGTACATTGTTCTAGTATTTCGAGACACTCATACATTGCCACCAGACGGCGGCACAATATCAAATTTTGCTGTTTTAAAAGTACCTGTTGCGCGGTCTTGGTTTTGTTGTGTTATCTGTTTTTTAGTGATAATTATTGACCCTACTCATAGTTTTAGGAGTTTTGTTAACCGTTTTCACATTTAGTATGGGATGTATATAAAAGCTGTTTCAGATATAAAGTACAGAATATTGCCATTTGATTTTCCTTCGTCAAAGCAGACGACATGTGCAATGCATGCATGCAACCAAAATAATACAGTGACAGTGGCAGTGACACTCTACACACGCATGGATATTTTAATACATTTAACTAATTCTAGCTTATAACCAATATAGCATAATAACTTGATATAATAGAATTCGAAAATTGTAAAGTCATTGAAAAATATTAATATTATATTGCAGGCAAATATTATATTTATACAGTCGAATCCTCTATTGAACTATTCCTCAGATAAACACACGAAGACGGAAGAGCAACGAAATATATGTAATAATAACTAATGTATACAATTGTATACAATTGTAAAAACTAAATAAGTATAATATGTTGAATAATTAAGTTATCTGTTATGCGTTACTCGCAAAAACATCTAATAAGTTGGTGTGGGCGTTTTTAAATCACTATCTGTATCACCCCTATCAAATAAATAGTAAATGCCTATTCTCATCACGTGACATGAAACAGCTGCTTTCCTTAGTGATGTCATCGCGTCTCTCCAGATGATATTTGATTCTTCCTGAACTGATGAAGAAATACGATTTCCTGCTAGAGTAAGAAAGCATTTGTAAAAATAGCAAAACCATGAAGTCATCACTATTTTCTTAGTCAAGGTGAGCTAGTTAAACTATTAAAAATACGTGTAATGAAGCTACACGTCTCGTCTGTTGGTAACTATAGGCCTACGATACATATAGCTAATTAGCTAGCTGCACACTGTACGTAGTTTCTAATTTTCGTGCTTTTCTTTGTAATTTTTCTGCTGAAGATACACGTAAATTATAATGTTATGTTGATATAGTTGAGTACGTTTACATTGATAATGCTTCATTTGTTTATATGAATTTTCGTGAAATAAAGGTGACATAAAGGTATGCACCAGAACTCGTCAAAGTGAATCTATTTTAAATATGCCATATGGTTATTAATCCCAGCCCTAGTACAGTAACGTAACCCGGCCAGGAGAGTAGGGTTACTACTACCTGCTCTGTTGGGTCACATGCTTGTATCTTGAGCTAGGTTTTCCTAAATATTTCGGACTTGCAAATCTAAATTTCTTCAGCTGTGTCCCTGACTCAGTGACGCTGAAGGGGTCGTTGTCGTATCAGGTATTACATATATGTACCCGAGGTACATATAATATCAGGAGTCTATATTATCTTACTCCTGATAATATGTAAACACAAAGTGTACCAGACTTGTACTACAGAAGTGTACCCTAACCCTAAACATACCTCATATAAAAATATAAACATAATACTAAACAACCTAAAACTACCTCGGGTACATATAATATATGTAGTACCTGATACGACAACGACCCTTCGTGCCTCAGTGACGCTGAGAGGGTCTATGTCCCCCAGGGTACTGCCGGAACGTACCCTGGTACTATCTAATATGCCGGACCGTACCTTGCCTACTCCACTAACGAGTCTAGGGAGTCGCCTACGCCTACTCCCTAACCCTAACCCTATCCCTAACCCTATCCCTAACCCTAACCTTAACCCTAAACCTAACCCTAACCCTAACTCTAACCCTAACCATATCAAATAGTTACCAGGGTACGTTCCGGCAGTACCCTGGGGGACATAGACCCTATGAGCCTCAGTGACTGCCTGCGTAATGTCGAGGCATCTTAAATTATATATACATTGCCCTGCCTTGTTTGTTTATAATGGTTATGCTTCTGAGAGAGTACCCGCCTATAGCTACGCCCTTGCAGATACTCATGGTAGACTGCTAGCTATATAGAGTATAGCTATAGTATGTAATATATCTATAGTAATAAAGTATTACCATAATCATCTCCTTCACATATATGTGTGTGTAGCGCTAGCTTAACAAATTATGAGAAATTAAAGTCATCGTAAGTGAAGGGATGGAACTTTTTTAACTCGGTAAAGAGGGTACATGGACCATCAATTAGTTTTTTTCTGTATCCCATCTCAAAATAGATCCAGCAACTGTCACATGCATATAATTACTTCCCCAACTAGAATCATCTAAACCTATTTTCCAGCATCTTGTTATACGGTGAGTTTATGAGTATATTAGTTGAGTATAGTAAGCTTCGTGACTATTCATAATAAGGACTCAGGAGTTTAGCATATAATTTACTAAGGTTAAATCCATGTTTCTCCCCCAGAAAGAATTCCAGGGTTCATTTTCTGTGTTCCTATGGCAATAACAGCATGCCATGCAAAGCAATTGCACTCTGATAGAGTGGCTCTATTATAGAGGAATTCATCGGTATGCTAGCCATAAACGCCTGGGATAAATTAGAAAAGGGTTTCTTTTATTTTTAAATAACGTATTATATGCAGAATTGGTTTTTAGCTAAACATGGGTTTTAGCTAAACACTGCGATCTATTTCACTACCTGTGATCTGTGGATCAATACTTTTTCAGTAACAGTTGCAATTCTACGACGTAACTTATTTAGATAGTCACCAGTAATGGGGTTACTTTATAATTGTTCTGTGTCGGATTTTTCCTTTATTTCTATATATATATGTTCATATATCTATTCCTCAGTGCCCATATTCCCCCTCCATCCTTCCAGCACATTTCATTCTTCCACAGTGCAAAACAAAAGTTCTATATGTTCTGGTCTATATGTAGTCGCAAACCAGAGCATATTACAAAATCAAATCGAGGTTGATTTACATATATGCTCTGCGCAAGCTACTATTTTGCAGAACGTGGCACTCGTTCACGTTAAACTTCTTCACGTTATCTACGAAACATGCCTGTGTGCAGGCGATCGTGTTTTATTGTACGTAGTATTAGTACATTTATGTAGTAGATCTGTATATGTAGACGCAAACTACTATTTTGCAGAACGTGGCACTCGTTCACGTTATCTACATATATGCGTGTGTGCAGTCATGTTTTATTGTGGAAAGTACATTTATGTAGTAGAATTTATGATCCGTATGCTTGCTTCGTGCATTTCACACATGCTTGCTTTCGTCTACTAGGGGCAGTTATTAGGTTCAAGATTGCTCACAGCCTCACACCTACTATAGACAGGAGGACATAAGAGACAAAGGGTTCTTATGTCCTCCTGGAAAATATATACATGTCATTCTGAAAACGTACACATCCATATCATCAAGAATAACAATGATAATGATAATAATAATAATATATAGTCATAATCAATATTTACTATCGTTGTTATGTGCACAGTAAGTATCATGCCAGGAGGAACTCCTCTTAATACCATTCCCCTCCTTTTTTTCACCAGGCTTCTACTCCCCTAGCTTCTCTCACCAGGTTCTACTCCCCTAGCTTCTCCCACTTTTTCCCCTCCTCCTTTCCTTCCTCCCAATTGTCTTTATGCCTTCTCTTATATTTGCTGATACTTTAGATTTAGAAAAGAAAAAATCGCTAAATCTGTTCTAAATCTAATGTGTCCATTTCTCTCTCGTTTGTCCAATATCTATACGAATGCTATGATCAATTAATGTTCCCGTAGCGAAATTTCACAAGAGTATACCATTTTGTAGTTTATTTTACGTGTTTTTCAGACTAAAAATAATGGTATTTTATTACTTCCTAGTATTCCCGCACCTACACAATGGGTACATGAAATGATTTTTAATATGTTCAGTCATAGAATGTGCTTACATATACATCTATAATCTGAGTACATGCATAGTCGAATCTCGCTCAGCATCGCAAAAGCACATACATCGAACCCTATATAAAACTTATACACATATAACTAACATGTACATCCCTTCACAGCAATTAAGTACAACTGCATTGCGCTGCTTATTTTATTATTATTTTGCCTGCTAGTGTTAAAAATTGTTTTATTGGCTATCAAATTTACCCAGCAACAGCCTTTGTCTGTCACCGTGCGGTAGAGGAGTGAGTTTTTATACGGTGGTACACGAACACAGAGAGTAGCTAGCAGCCGTGCTTGCTGGTCTCAGCTG